ATAATGCATCTTAACGTTGGATGCCACCCGCCATAAAACACAAGAAGAAGAAAAAGAACAATAAGGGTGCTTTGTCAGAGCAGCTCACCATTTTGTACAGGTGCCTTTTGGTGTTTTAGATGTTTGATCTTGGCTTTTATGGCATTGTTTTGAAATATAAACCAACTTACAGCCAGGTCTTGCGAAAAATTTTGGCAAAGAGTTTGGTTTTGAAGTCTGTCTTTATGTGTTCATTGTTAAAATGATTGTCGAAGCTTCTGAAGGCAAGCTCAGAAGTCTTACTTTTAGTAAACTTTGTTTTGGGTTATGTAATTTTGGTTTAAGTCTTAAAGCTTCACCTTGTGATAATTTATTTAAAATGTAATTAATTTTAATTTTCATCCTATTTTAGTTTGATAATGAAGATAGTGTAGTTTTACATACATATATTTTTAAAACATTACAACTTAAATGTTTGATTTATCTTTTATTTTGTTGCCATTTCTTTTGTTACAAATTACATTTGTAAACCACAACAATTGGTAATTAGTACTTTCTTTTTAGATCTTTTTGTTCCGTTTTGTTTGTTAAAGTTTAACTGGCAACAATAAAAATATATATATATATATATATAAAAACTTATTTTCATCTGTTTTTAATGTTACCTCCCTATTTCCTGGCTGAGCCGGGTCGTAACATTAACGGGGACTCGTCTGGGACCTTACTGTATTCCTGTGACTTCAAAGTGGTGATTGTTTGGTCAGTTTATTTGAATGACAGACTTCAGTGAGCAGCTGCAAGTTGTTGTGCTCATTAGGCATGGCACAGCTCGATCGTGAGCAGTTTCTAAAGTGTCCCTCTCTTGATCAGCTGGAGTTTTACTGTAAAGATGATTTGGCTCACATTGCAGCCCATTTCTCTATTCCATGCCCAAAGCAACTCTTGAAAAAGGAGTTAATTGACATTGTTGTAGAGAAACTGATGGATCTTAGACATATTGTGCTTCCTGAGATTTCTGTGACGAACCAGCTGTGACTTCTGCCATCTGATAGTCCTTCTGAGGAAAGTGGTAGAAAAAATGTGGGTAAACCTCAAGCAGGCTCACAAATGCCAGAGGTGAAAGCTGAAGTTAGTGAAAGGAGTAAGACTACTTATACTCTTTCTCGGGTTCATCCAATTATTGCCAGTAATTCGGCTGGGTCAGTAGCTGATGCTCGGATCAAGGTCCGACTTCCTAGACTGCAACTTGAGACCCAAGAAAAAACACAGCTTGGGTATCCTGATGCATGCTCAATAATCCAGGTAGAAAAATCTAAAAAAGTTAAATCTGGTCCTCTGGACATTCAAAAAAACAAAACAAAGCAAAACGACAATAAAATGTAGAAACGTTTCATCTCTCATCCGAGAGACTTCCTCAGTCTGAGGTGCTGTATTCAGCTCAGTCTCTTAAATAGCACCTTCTCAGAGTGGATCAACAAGTTTTGCTGATGACAACCAAAACCAGCTGATCACATGTGTAGTGAACTTAATCTGGTGTCACGACTAAGCCTAAGGTCAAAACCCTTGACCTTAAGAACCTTGTGGGACAGGAACTGTCATTTTATTGATTTGAA